AACCCAGATATAAACCATCCATATACAGCAATGATCTTTGACAAAGCAGGTAACCATATGCATGGGGAAAGAACCTATTAATAAATGTGCTGGGAAATGGATAGCCACATGCAGAAGATGAACCAGGATCCATATATCTCTCGCCACTCACAAAAATTAATTCAAGTAGATAAAAGACTTAATCTAAGGCGTGAACATAAGAATGCTAGAAGAAAATGTTATAAAAACTCTTCTAGATATCAGTCTAGGCAAAGATTTTATAGAAGATCCAATGGCAATCATAGCAACTAAAAATAATAAATGGACTAAAAAAGCTTCTACACAGCTAAGAAAATAACAGAGCAAATAGAAACCTATAGATAGGAAAATATTCAGAATGTATACAATAATAAGGGCTAATAACCAGATCTACAAAAATTCAAGCAAATCAACCAAGAAAAAAACACACCCATTAAAAGTGGGCAGATTATGAACAGAGTTTCAAAAAGATTGCACAAACGCCAATAAACATATCAAAAAATGCTCAACACACTAATCATCAGGAAATCCAAATTAAACCACAATGAGATATCACCTTATCCCTGTTAGAATGGCTTTCATCAAAAGTTCAAAAACAACAGATGCTAACATGGATGCAAGAGAAAGAATGCTTCTGTACTGTTGGTAGGACTGCATATTATAATAATCTCTATGGAAACAGTATGGAGATTCCTCAAAGAACTAGAAGTAACTTCCACTTGGATCTAGCAATCCCACTACTGGGTACTTACCAAAAGAAAAAAAGTCTTTTTCAAAAGAACCTGGCATGCAAATATTTATTATAGTATAATTCACAATGCAAAGATGTGGCATCAACCAAGTGCTCATCATTAACGAGGGTTAACAAAATGTGGTATATGTATCATAGAATACACTCAACATAAAAGGATGAATTAAGGCCTTTGCATCAATTTGGATGAACTGGAGACCCTTATCCTAAGTAAGTATCTAAGGAATGGAAAAACAAAATACTACATGTACTCGCTATTAATGGGAACTACAATGACTACAGATGTGCACAGAGGGAAGTAAAACTCAGTGGTAATCAAGCAGGGGGGAGGGAAAGACAGGGGTGGGCAACCTACTAATGGATAATGAACATTATCAGGGTGATGGATCTTCTTATAACCCTGACTAAGCATAACAAAAACATCCATGTAACCAAAAACATTTGTACCTTAATATTTGAAAATACAAAAAAGGAAAAAAAAAGATAAAAGATCATCCCAATGATATTCTTGATTTCATGAAAATACCTCTGAATGCCTTAACATCAGATGATAAAAACTGACTTTTAATACAACACTGAAAGTTGCTAGTATTCATAAGTAGGTTAAAACATACAAATAAAATCATCAACATCTGCTTTAAAGAAATGGTCACAGTGGCTAATACAATTAAATCTTAAGGGAAGTCAACTAGGATTTTAAAAGTATCTTTAAAAAGTTTAGTATAATATATCCATAAAGATGCAACAAAAATAGGTGCCTCCTTGGCTTTTTCACTATCTCTTCTGATATTTCCCTTAGTCTGCAATTGTTCAGCAGAAACCTAGCACATCAGTCTACCTGTATAAAGATCAATGACATCAAGATACTTCTGGCTAGACTGCCAACTCTTTTGCCACAGATTATCAAGATCTACTCCAGCAGTGTCCTTCAGAAGCATATCCAGTGTAAGAAGTGAAACGCATCACAGGAGTCCAAGAGAGCCATCATCCTCATGGGTTTCCCTTCTACTACTGTTGGTGCCTGCCACTTGAGAGGTCTACAGCAAATAAGAGTATTACGTGATGGCTGGTAGTGGTAGCATGCTGCTACTCCTGCTTGAAAAGACATCTTGCCTTACTGACAAACCTCTTCAGATCTCATCCAGAGACTCTGCAAAAAAAAAGTGAAAAGAGTAAATCAGTGGCATTGCTGCATAGTATACACTTAAGCGATAAGAATGTCTGTCACTTGGTTCCTGAGCTATCTGCGCCATTGTTTGTTGCCCATCAACAGGGACCAAACACTAAGGACTAACTTGTCCCTTCACACAGAACAAGAAACTTCTGGAACCAGATAACCAAATGACCAGTCAATGTAACTAAAAGGCTTCAGATTAATTAGAAGTGTAATTATTTTGTGAGGGAAGAGGAAGATTGTTGGACAGCTTCTATAAAAGACTCAGGTAAAATACAAAGGCAGCTGGAATGCAAGCTACCTGAGCAATAAGTGCCTTTATAAACATATTGAAAGACAAAATACACATTTGCTTTGTTATAATATTTAGCAACAGGAAAGTTGTTACTGAAACTGTATGGCTATTCAGACTCAGAGGACTTCAATTTGAAACTCAGCACTACAATCCATTCTCTTAGCCTCAGGATAAAAAAAAGGGTAACCATATAATGTATCATCTAAGCCAGAACACTTTGAGAATAAAAAGGAGGGTATTAGTAATAACTTGAACAACAGATATAAAGTAGGACTGCTCCAAGAAAAGGAAAATGTAAGATCACTTATCTAAATAAAATACTATCTAGTCATGGAATGTCATAAGTATTAAGTAAATGATTAGACAGTGCCCGGCATAAGCTCTCTATTTATACTGGGTTATTCTTCATTTAGAAATGATGTCTCATAAGATTTAATGACCACTGTCATGTATTTTTCCTTCAGATAATGTATTTTACCACTAATGCCCCACAATGTAACACTTTCAAATATACTGTAAAAATTAAACATACATAGAAAGCACTTTCTCACAAAGTAATATAACAAATATGCGCCCTAGAAATATAATACTATTTAATACTATATCCAAAATAGGCCAAGAATTCCCAGATTTTTTACTTCTTACCCACTATAGAAGCTCTCAAATAAAACAAACATTTTCCCACCATAAGTGGATGCTATAATCCAAAAAGAGAGTTTCATCCATCAGTTATGGAAACTGCTTGCAGCAAGGTCCCTTTCAATTCCTTCTGCAGCAGCGTTTCTAGCTCTTCAAGAATCACGTTCTTCAGTTCTTCAAAGCTCACTCCCTTGTGTTGTCAATGATCCAGAGACCACACAGGTGTGTTAACTGATAGCTGCCAACATGAAATGCCAGGACTCTACCATATGCTTCCCCACCTCTGTAGTGGAGTTTGTAAGGATCACAAATATCCCCTCATTCACAACACACACATATTCTTTCAACATATTTATATTCACTGCCTGCTATATGCTAGGCACACTACTAACACACTTGTACTCATTCACTCTACTAATTATCACATCTTTTGAGCAAGAAGTCAGTATATATATACATTTATGGTGGTGAAATAGATTAAGCCTACTAAAAAAACAACACAAAACTTGAACTTCTTACACAGCATGGTTCTCAGAGAGTATTTCTACAGTTACAATCTAAATTATGGGTGTCTGTGCAGTTTCCTTTTGGTGTAAAACAAATCGATCAACAGGGTATAAGAACTGACTACTCATCATGCTTAATATCAAACTCACAGAAATCTACATTTCTATGAATCCCATTTTGTGGCCAGAAATAAACTCTCAAAATCCTAATTAATACAATGGTCTATTCATTTATCCGTGTAAATAGAGACTAGACTAACTGCTGCTTTTAGTATTTTTTCTGCTGACAATTTATAATTCCAAAAGTGACACACCTGAGACCTTACCATCCAAACCCATTATTTATTAATGCTTTTGAAATGTACTAAGTTCTAATAGTACAACTTATTGTTAATTTGGGAGAAGTCATTAGATAGAAAAGAAGGTATGTTCCCATGTATTTAATAGTCATTTGATTTTGAAATTTTTACTGTCTAAAAATAAATCACCAGTTAATAATTGCTAAGAAGTGAATCTTCCATTTGATCCAGCAATCCCATTGCGCATCTACCCAAAGATCCAATGACACTCTAAAAAAGACACTTGCACTCGAATGTTTATAGCAACACAATTCATAATTGCAAGGCTGTTGAAACAGCCCAAGTGCCCATCAATCCAAGAGAGGATTAATAAAATGTGGTATATGTATACCATGGAGTACTATTCAGCTCTAAGAAACAATGGTGATATAGCACATCTTATATTTTCCTGGTTAGAGCTGGAACCCATACTACTAAGTGAAGTATCCCAAGAATGGAAAAACAAGCACCACATATATTCACCAGCAAACTGGTATTAACTGAGTAGTACCTAAGTGGACACATAGGTACTACAGTAATAGGGTATTGGGCAGGGGGAAGGGGGAGGGGCAGTATATATACCATAATGAGTGATATGTGCACATCTGGGATGTCATGCTGGAAACTCAGACTTGTGGGGGAAGGGGAGGAAAGGGCATTTATTGAAACCTTAAAATCTGTACCCCATAATATGCCGAAATAAAAAATAATAATAATAATAATTGCTAAGAAGAACTTACTGCCATCTTCAAATAACTAAAAGTTGATATCCCTGCTCTATGTAAGCAAAGTCTAGCCTCTGAGTGAATGCATATAATAATCACCAGTGAAAATCACACAGATCTATGAAACAACTTAGTGCAATATCTACATGAAAGCAATATGCAAGTGTCAAGTCCAACAGAGAAGGAGGTATTGTTATAGTCTCCTTCTAAAATCACATGAACTAATCTACTGGGACAAAATAATAATAGAGGTGCAAAAATATTCCTCCTTTCTGAGCATAAGCAATTTACTACCATGGTAGGGTAAGAAAACAGCTCATCCAGTGATATTTTTCTATGACACATGCTAAGCTATCTACAATATCATTTTAGTGCATACACATATCAGACTTAACTTTCCATATTTAGTTCTATGCCATAAAAAATATACTACCTTTGTCTTTAGAAATATACTCCAAATTTATGTAATGTGGTTATATGACATTGAGATTAGAGCTCAAAAATATTACCTTAATTCATCTCTATAGCAAATTGCTATATTATATCATACTTACTGCCTCTTTAATTTCACAGGAGAAAACATGTATCTGAAATTCTTCTGAACCATGGGAACTCTCTGTAAATGCAAAGCAATTGCTCTCTGTTGTCCCATCATGTCCACGTGCACAGAATAACACCTTATAGATTGGAAAAGATGCTATCTCCACATTGCTGGATTGGTCTATGATTCTGCAGAACAGTAATGAAAAATTAGATAAAATATTAACTATCAAATAACAAAGACAAATAGTTTTACTATGCCAAGATATGACATATAAACATAACTATCTTAAAATCACAAAGATAAACTGGTACTAATAATGCAAGAGAACAAATTATCTTCATATTCCCGCAAATCTCAAAACATACACACACATAAATTCTTTACCTTCTTCTAACAATTTCTTCATTCTTGTGTTTCCCATGATCCAACTCATTTACTCCAAAGCTAAGTATACATTATCTGGTAAAATCTCTATCATCCATCTTTAAGATCTAGTCCTTTTTCTATTACAGCAAACCAATGCCAGTACAGAATAGCACAAATCATCCCTTGGAAAGTCTACTTCTATTCAGAGCAGCATCTCTGACTTCATCTAAGCTCCAAATCATTGTTCAACTGAGGTCTCTTTTACCCCAGAAAAGGTCAGGGTGATTCCAAATGTGGATTCAACAACAGAACTTAAGAGCTGAAAGGAGTTTGTAGAATTGAGAAGCAAATAATTCTCTGACTTTCCCTATACAAATCCCAAGTCCTAGATTGATGCAAACATTCAAGATCTCAAACTGAGAAACTGATGGGTGGGAGGACAACTATTAGGTAGACAGCAAGTGATTCTGGGTCTCCTAGGGACGAAAGTGGGTGCAATTGCCTTGGTGCAACTGCTCTACCTTGGAATCAGGACAAGGGTGAGCCCCAGGCCCCCTTCTTAGTCCTTCCCCAGCTTGATCCAGTTACTGTCATACGTGGGGGAAAAGGGAACACTCTAGAAACCTGCCAATCGTAACTTAGCACACCAGCTGCAAAAGAATGCAGAGGACTCTCTAATCCATGGGCCAAGTCACATAGATACCACAGAGTCCGGAAAGTGACCTAGAACACCCTGCATACATAGTAAGACTCAGGTCATGCAACTCCCAACTGTCCAAAGTGGTTCCATGGTGACCTCTGAACCATGAGGGAGGTTCAATCTGGGCACTATAATACAGGATGCAGACCATAACCAGTCCCTTTGGCCTCTTCCTTTTGCTCTCCCTTTGCTGCCACAGTGGGTCCAGTCGTCATCTGTGGTATACATAGCATGCTCTGTAAACCGTATCTCACCCTTGCTTTATAATCCTGTCTTTCTCTCCTCAATAAACTATACCTCATGCCAGCCTCACTTTGGTACGCCTGGTCATTTTTGACCATGCACACCCTAAGAACTGACATTTCAAACTGAGAACTGACACAACCACCAGGAATAAAGAGGCAAGTCAAAATACTAAGTCTCTCCCAAGGCATATTTGGCAAATGGAAACTAAATAGACAACACTAAAAGATACTTTGACATTTTTAGGAGATAACATAAACAATATATTAGTAAAGCCCTTTCCTGAAAAACTCAAAGCTTTTTTACCAAAACTTTGTAAATTTATATTGCTATAAAATTATTTTGGTACTTACAACTTTGCTAAAGTTTCCCCATATTCTAAACTTTAATTAATAAGGCAAATCAGAAAGGGTTTTAAAAACAAAAAACAAACAAAAAAAAAAACACTTTGAGGGAATATTACAAGTTCAGGATGCATTCAACCTAATTTCTTTCACCAGGTCCACTTATTTGTTCACTCAGCAAACATTTACCAAAATCTTTCAGTGAACCAGTTACTCCCCTAGGCACTAAAGTTACATTAGGGACAAATACAAGGAACCTGTTCCCATGAAGCTTATAATCTAGTCAGGAAGATAAACAATAAACTAATAAGCAAATAAATGTAAAGATAACATAATATTGAATCAAAGAAAAAAGGTATAAAGAAAAAAAAGGCTCAGTATGAGGACAGAGAGGGATAGTTACATGATAGGATCAAGGAAAGTTTCCCATGATAAAATGTTTCTTGACGTAAAATGAGAGAGAAATGAAAAAGCCATTGTAAAATCAGGAAAAAAAAATTTAGGTTTAGCAAAGAGAATATGCAAAGGCCCCAAGGCAGGAATCCTGACTGATAAGCCCTTTGAGAAAAAACAAAGAGGCTAGTATGACTGGAATGTAGTGAATGAAGAGAGGGAGCGGGTATACTGGTACCAATAATGCAAGATAACATTAATTTCATATTCTTGAAAATCTTCAACACACACACAAATCCTCCATCTTCTTTTGATGAGGGGGGAAGGAGATGGGAGGAGGAAGGAAAAGGAAAGAAAGGAAAGAAGAAGAGGGGAGGGGAGGGGAGGGGAGCATCTCCATGAATGGGATTAGTATGCTTATAAAAGGGACCCCAAAGAATGTTCTCAGTCCCTTCCACCATGTAAGGACACGTAAAACAGGAAGCAGACCATCATCAGACACCAGATATGTTGGAGTTTTGATCTAGGAATTTCCAGCCACCAAAACTATGAGAAATAAGTTTCTGTTGTTTATAAACCACGCAGTCTATGACAGTTTGTTATAGCAGCACAAACAGGCTAAGACAGGAGGGAAGGAAGGAGGAAGAGGAGAAGAAGACCAAGTGGGAGCACTTGGTCATCAGTGGCCAGGCATGATAAGGATTTTTAATATAACCACAAATATGATTGGAGGCTACTGGAAGGCTAGGTATAGGAGAATAACATTATCTGATTTACATTTAAAGAAATGCAAGGTTAAGATGGCATCATATATTATTCCTAATTAAGCATAAAAGAGAAAGCCATTTTGCTTTTCAGTCTGATGTAAATAGCTTAAAATCTAGGACCCACTCCTAGATAGTGGTTTTTTGAACCACTATTACATGATAAACTGAAGGCAGGTTTTTACGCTCCTTCAGAATAGAGAAACACAAATTACAAGTATTTTTAGAGTTTTATTTCCATTTATAATATTCTATGCATAATTTTGCAAATGCCCCTTTCAAATAGTAGAGACAATCTAAGCCTAAATATAACATTTATTAATACTTTGCATGTCTACAGGGCATAAGTGAATTCACAATAAGCTCCACACCTGATTTATGATATAACATCCTCATCACTACCCAAAAGACTTAATACAAGTCTAAAGAAAAACATTGGAGCTCACCTCACAGAACCTTCTGGAACATTTGGCACATACAAAGTAACAGGAAATGGGTACTGACTGGAAGATTTCATGGTTGCCATTGCCCGTAAGGCCTCCACTTCATTACGTGGAGAAGAAACCTTCATACATCCTAAGTAGGTCAGTTTGTTAAATAAAACACTATCTTCCTCAGGTAGTCCACTTGGAGAAGATGGTCTCGGTGTAGAAATTTCTGAAGAAAAAAAGAAAAGAAACACTCAAAATTCAATGCAAAACTCCACAGTATAATTTTATCAAATGTCCAAAAACAAATGAAATATTTCAAATAAAATTTAGGTCTCTCTGTAGTTTCACTTCTACTACTGTTAATCCTAAATCTTAATTCAGAGTTCTGGAAGTGGCCATTTGGTACTTTCAAATCTCCCAAAATATTAACTTACTTACCTATAAATTCTTCAGAGGAAAGAAAAAAAATTTTAAGCTTTATATTTTTAAAATATCAAAAATATGGTGCTGGCCGGGCGCTGTGGCTCACGCCTGTAATCCTAGCTCTTGGGAGGCAGAGGCGGGCGGATTGCTCAAGGTCAGGAGTTCAAAACCAGCCTGAGCAAGAGTGAGACCCCGTCTCTACTATAAATAGAAAGAAATTAATTGGCCAACTGATATATATATAAAAAAATTAGCCGGGCATGGTGGCGCATGCCTGTAGTCCCAGCTACTCGGGAGGCTGAGGCAGGAGGATCGCTTGAGCCCAGGAGTTTGAGGCTGCTGTGAGCTAGGCTGACGCCACGGCACTCACTCTAGCCTGGGCAACAAAGTGAGACTCTGTCTCAAAAAAAAAAAAAAAAAAAAAAATATGGTGCTAAACTGATACAGAGTAAGGAGAAAAAACTAAAGACAGTGTGATACAGCCTAAAAGTAATAAGGATTAGATAAAAGTAAAATGCGTTAAAAGTTTATCTTGACTATAAAGATCCTTCACAGCACCACATTCACTAAATAGCCCAACTTCCTAAGCAAAAATAAACATGTTAAAATGTTATATCTCATATCAATAACAACAAAAGTCAAGCTCCTTATTTTACTCCTCCTGGCCTGTTGACTTTCATGAACTATGTAAGTGCACCAATGGAATTTTTTCCCTCAAAATAATGATTTTTCATGGAATGATTCTATGATTGCTTTGCCCAATTCCATCCTCTACCCCCCAATAATGAATTTCTAAAAAAAAAAAAAAAAGTTCACTTTAATTCTAAGCACAAAATGCAGCAAAGGCCCAATTGTGGTTAGAGAATATCATTTGCATCTATCAGGTAGTATAACATTCTCCCTTTCTGTCCTCACTAAAATCCACACATTTATCTCCAACTCCTCCTGTCTGTTACCCACATCCATGTTGCACAAAATTGACCATACCTATCTTACTCGAACTAGATCCCTGCAGCATGTTCAAATTCTCATTACCAGGATTTCTCTTATAGGATTTTAATAAATATTTCAAAAAAGTCATTTCATACCTCTCAACTCCAGCTTTTAAATGTCATACTAAAATATGCAACCTCACCGCTGACTTTTTTGCTGAGAAACTAAAGCCATGCAAAATGAACTTTCATCTACTATGTTCTTCAATGAATGAAACATGTTTTTCTCCCTTTTGAATCAGTTCAATATACTATATTTCAAAAGGGATAAATAAAAAACTCTAAATACATTTAACATGTTTAAATTATTTGTTTTGTATTATATTGTTATATGCATATATGTTATTAGGTACTTTTGTTATTTAGCAAGCATTTATTTAACAAAAATTATTCACAAGTTCCTATGGTAAAACCATGCTTCAGTGATTGACTAGCATGGGTAGATTAAGTAGTTCAAGTGGTCTAATATATGTGTAATTGGAGTTCTAAAAAAGAGAAAAGAGGAAGCAAGAAAAAAAGCTGTCAGAAGAACTAAATATTTTAAAAATCTGTGTAACCCAATATTCATAAGTCTATATAGACCCCAAATATAAAACAGTGCAGAAATGACATATGATAAAATTGGCAGACAAGGCCTTTACAATAGCTGTTATAAATATGATCAAGGATTTAAAAAATAAAAAACATCTAACAAAAAAAGAAAAATGAAAGACATAAGAAAAGAACTAAAAGAAATTCTAGAATTGAAAAATACAAGATCTGAAGTGTTCCCAGATAGATATAATAACAGATTTTAAATTGCAGAAGAAAAGAAGAATGTTAAAGGAAGTTCCTTAGGATAAAGGAAAAAATGATACTCGAGGCCACTGAAGAGCATCAAAAGTTATACATATATGAAAAAGACTTTTTCCTTGCTTTTGAATTTCTAAATTATATAACAGACTATTTAAAGCAAAAAAAACCCTCAGTATTTTGTATTATAGAATTTGTAACATATGTATAAGCAAAATGAATGACAGCAGGAGCAAAAAGTCTACAAAGGAACAAATAGAAGATTCTTATAATATACACAGTGTTATAATATTATTAGAAAGTATATGTGTTAAAGATTTGGGTTATAAATTCCAGAGACAACCACTATAATAATGAAACAAAATTACATAGCTAACACGCCAATAATGGAGATGAAATGGAACATTAAAAAATACTCAATCCAAAAGAAGGAAGAGTGGAGAAAAGAAACAAAAACCAGAAGTGACAGAGAAAACAAACAGCAAGAGGGCAGGTACAATTAGATCCAAATATATTAAAAATTAAATGAAAAGTAAATGGTCCATTTCCTCCTCATTATGTAGTTTTTGGACATATAGGTTTTTATACTAATCAAAAATAATGTTTTGTATTTCCATGGTGTCTATTGTGACCTCTCCTTTTTCATTTCTAATTGAGTTTATTAGAGTCCTTTCCCTCTGAATTCTTATCAATCTAGCAAGAGGGCTATCAATTTTGTTTATCTTTTCAAAAAACCAGCTTTTGGTTTTGTTGATCTTCTGTATAGTTCTTTTGTTCTCAATTTCATTTAGTTCTCCTTTAATCTTAGTTATTCCTCTTCTTCTACTAGGTTTGGAATTGATTTGCTCTTCCTTTTCCAATTCCTTCAGACTGTTTATTAGATTGTTGATTTTTTAGCTTTCTGTTTTTTGAATGTGAGCGTTTAATGCTATTAATTTTCCTCTCAGGTATGCTTTCGCTGTATCTCACAGGTTTTGATAAATTGTGTCTCCATTATCATTTAGTTCAAAGAAACTCTTGATTTCCCTGTGTATTTCCTCCTTGACCCAATAGTTATTCAACAATAGATTGTTCAGTTTCCATGACTTTGTGAGATGGTAAGTATTTCTCTTGGAACTGAACTCTAATTTTATACCACTATAATCAGAAAAGATACAAATTCCTGGAAACATAGAACCTCCCTAAGTTCACCCAGGAGGTAATAGAATTCCTGAACAGACCAATCTCAAGCACAGAAATTGAAGCAACAATTAAAAACCTTTCAAAAAGGAAAAGTCCTGGACCAAACAGCTACACTTCAGAGTTTTACCAAACATACAAAGAACTCATATCTATACTATACAAATTATTCCACAACATTGAAAAAGATGGTATCCTTCCTAACTCAATCTAAGAAGCCAATATTACCTTGATATCAAAGCCAGGAAAGGACACAACAAAAAAAGAAAACTACAGACCAACGTCCCTCATGAATATAGATGCAAAAATCCTCAACAAAATTTTAGCAAATCGAATTCAGCAGTATATAAAAAAAAATAATAATTCACCATGACAAGGTGGGCTTTACACCAGGGATGCAAGGCTGGTTCAACATATGCAAATCTATAAATGCAATTTGTCTCATAAATAAAAGCAAGAACAAAGACCATATGATTCTCTCAATGGATGTGGAAAAAGCATTTGACAAAGTCTAGCACACCTTTATGATAAAAATTCTTAACAAAATAGGCATAGATGGGTCATACCTTAAAATTATCAAGTCCATTTATGATAAACCCATGGCCAATATCATAATGAATGGGGAAAAATTGAAACTATTCCCACTTAAAACCAGAACCAGACAAAGTTGCCCACCATCTCCACTTCTATTCAACATAGTGCTGGAAATCCTTGCTATAGCAATTAGACAAGAGAAGGGAGGAATTAAGAGAATCCAAATGGAGGCAGATGAGATCAAACTTTCACTCTTTGTCAATGATATGATATTATATCTAAAAAACCCCAAGGATTCAACCAAGAGACTCCTGGAATTGATAAATGAATTCAGTAAAGTCTTAGGATACAAAAATCAATAAACACAAATCAGAGGCATTCATATACGCCAATAACAGGCCGAAATTCAAATCAAAAACACAACACCTTTTACAATAGTCTCAAAGAAAATTAAATATCTAGGAATATATTTAACGAAAGATGTGAGAGACATATACAGGGAGAACTACAAAACATTAAGAAAAGATATTGTAGAAGATGTAAACAGATGGAAAAATCTACCTTTCTCATGGATTGGTAGAATCAACATCAAAATGTCCATACTACCTAAAGTGATCTACAGAATTAATGCAATCCCATCAAAGTACCATCATCATTCTTTACAAATCTAGGAAAAATAATTCTACACTTTGTATGGAACCAGAGAAGACCTTGTATAGCCAAAACAATCTCAAGTAAAAAGAACAAACTGGGAGGTATCAGTCTACCAGACTTCAAGCTGTACTATAAAGTTAGAGTAACTATAACAGCATAGTAACTAAAACAGCATAGTATTGGCACAGGAATAGAGATATGGAGGAATAGAGATATGGACCTTTGGAACAGGACTGAGAACCCAGATATAAAATCATCCTCATATTGTCATCTAATCTTTGACAAAGCAGACAAAAATATACACTGGGGAAAAGAATCTCTTTTCAATAAATGGTGGTGGGAAAACTGGATAGCTACATGCAGAAGACTGAAACTGGATCCCCACCTCTCGCCACTTACAAAACTCAATTCAAAATGGATAATAGATTAAACCTAAGGCATGAAACCTTAAGAATCCTAGAAGAAGATGTTGGGAAGACCCTTTCAGACATTGGCCTAGGCAAAGAAGTTTTGAAGAAGAACCCCCCAAAGCAATCACAAAATCAATCCTAGGCAATAAAAACAAAATAGGAGGACTTCAAACTATACTACAAGGATATAGTCATTAAAACAGCATGGTACTGGCACAAGAACAGGGACACTGACCAGACAG